AAAATAAATACACGTAGCAATGATACAAATATTGAAAATATAACCCTCTAACTATTAATTACATAACTACCCAAAGTGTCGGTCTAAGGATCCCGAAGAATCCGCCGAATAAATCAAAGTAATTATTAATTAATAAATGAGTCTATAATTTTCTCATACTTAAGAGTCAAATGCCATGACGGTGATAGGGAGCAATTGCATACGACGGCTCTTGCAATATATCTCAACCTAACGCGGATCCAGTTGAAGTCTTAATTAATTATAAGTCCATCCATAATTACCGACTATGAACCATTTATGATTACTATTTATATTCATGTATTGATCGCCATCACATACATATATAAATATCTCTCGTAATCAAATGGACACTATCAATTCCAAAATAAATTAAAACATAATACATTGAATCCACCAATTATATAAATCATAAATATTTCAGATATGTCAGGAACATATGTCACTTTAATCCAAATAGGAATTTGCTATGCTAGGGCATATAAATCCCAACAGCTCCCACTTGCCCTCATAGCCAATTCAAATTGCACCTAACTCCAATGTTATCCAGATGATGATCAAAATTATTGATCAGTGACACCTTTGATAATGAATCAACAAAGTTGTGTTCCATTGCAATGTTCTGGCTACAAGTACATTTTCTTGCCGGACAATATCATGTAGAACATGATACTTCCTCTCAGTGTATCTTGTTCCTCTATAGAACCTTGGGTCATTGGTTTGGACTACTTCTGCACTATTGTCGCAACATAGCTCAATAGGCAGGCTAGTATACTCCACAACCTCTAAATCAGTGAGATCAAACCAATAGGCTTCCTTTGCCGCCTTTAAGGCTGCAATGTATTCCACCTGCAGGTTTGAGTCAGCAGTTGAAATCTGCTTAACAATCTACCAACTGATTTCCCTTCCATTAAATGAACATACACTAAGTCATGAACCTCATAGTATCTACTTCTGATTGAAAATCAGAACTAGCAAACCTGACTAGGACCATATCATCACATCCATAACTGAGTATGATATCCTTGGTCCTCCTTAGATACTTAATGATATTTTTCACAACAGACCAGTTATCAAGTCCAGGATTGGACTGATATCATCTGACTATCCCTACAATGTAACGAATGTCCTATTTGGTATAGACCATGGCATATATGAGACTCTCATAAGCCAAAGCATATAGTTTCAGTCTCATTTGCTCAATCTCATCTGCTAGTCTTAGAAAACTACTTAATAGAGAGAGCAATCCATATCAATAAAGCAAGAATTCATTCTTTGAGTTATGCATACCAAACCTGGTCAAAACTTTATCAATGTAGGATTATTAAGATAAGCCTATTTTCCTTTTAACCTGATCTTGCAAAAGCTTGATCCTAGGAATATAGCTTACATCTTGAGAATCCTTCATTTAAAAGTAATTGAACAACTACCTTTTTATTAATGACAAAACTTCCACGTCATTAAAAATGAGTAGGATGTCATCAATATATATAGAATCAGAAAAATAATGACATTCCCTTGTACACTCATGATTTATGCACTAAGAAATCTTCTGGTATCTTTTTGTAGATTGACTTGCCTTCCATAGGTGTCACCCTACTAGAAAGTTCTACAAGATCCCAAAATTTATTAGAATACATAGATTCCGACTCTGATTTCATAGTAACTCGCCAAAACGATCTGTATCCATATCGGTTCACGCTTCCGTGTAGCTTATTGGGTCCAACTCATGTTTAACAGGGATGTCCATAACGGTCTCACCTAAAAACATGATTCTGTCAGATTGGATAATTATCCTCCCACTACATCAATGTACCGATGAAGGAATCTGTGTACTAGATGATGTTGATGCATCAATAGGGAATTCATCTATAATTCTAAATCTCTATACTAAGTGTGTTCATATGTGGTACATCTGGTACTCTTACCATATTCTCTAACACTATGCTACTAGGTATGTGATTCATAATATGATTCTCCTATAGATAAACAATGAGTGTAAACAATCAACTTTTATCATTGAGATCATAAAATAATCCGTCCTAGTGACATTTTAGAGTAGCTATCAAATCTATCATGCATATGATCTGTTTCCAACTTACTTGTCCATATCAAGCGCACATGTGCAAGACTACCCCATTTATGCATGTGATTCAAACTAAGATTTAGTCAAAAACACAGTTCAACGGTATCCTTGAGACAAACTAAGATGGAATGCAGTTCATAATGCGTATCGATGTCATTAACGCTAAACTCTTAAATAAAAGAGATAATGTGGCATAACTGATCATAGATCTAACCATGTTAAGTGGAATTCTGTTATTCCTATTTGACACCTAAATTAATTTAGCGTCAATTGCGGAAAACTGGTACACAACACCCTCATTGACCATATAGTCTTTGCACTATCCCAAGAAATACTCATATACTCGATCAGATCGAAGTGTCTTGATAAGTTTACCTAATCTGTGCTCCACATCAGTCTTGACCCTCTCGGAATATACCAAAAGTATAAGACTCGTGTCGCAACAGGTAAATTTATCCAAAACGTGAGTAATCTTGATTGAATGTTCATAAGACCACACGTGTCCGTGTGTACCGACTCCAATTGTTCTTTATGTCTATTTCATTTGACTGATTAAGCCCTTAGAGTTATCTATCCTTCAAAACAGGATTCACAAGTTTGGTTTAGGCTCCTCTGCCTCACTAGGTAATAAACCTTCTTTGACCAATCTTTGAATCTCATTTTGATTGATTACAACCCAAAAATAGACACCAAAAAATACAATGAGTCAGGAATAACAAATTTTCTTTTAACATTCAATCTAAAGATGCAACATTAGTTTCTACATCCTACAAATCTTAAGAGTTTGTGATTATAGTATATTAACCATCTTTCAATGCACCATAAGCAATCGCATATCTATTCAATTTTATAAAACCAGTTTTACAAAATAACGATCCAGTTTTTATAAACCACAAGTAAAACAAAAATTAGATAGCGTCTAACCTCTGTGCATAAAGATAATTCTCTAATACTAATATCCTCATACTCTCTAATTTCTGACTTAGCTACAACCTTAACATCAGGTCAAGTACAAATATATTCCATATCATCAAGGCTTCTGGATTCCTGAAATCCTTGCAATGAATTGCAAACATGTTTAGTGGCTCAAGAATCTATTCATCAGGAATTAATAGATACAACCACATAACATGGCTCAATGATTAAATGTATATTTTCCTATGCCACGTCATTGCTTAGACAGTTTGTCCTTTAGTGTCTTAGTTAGCGACAAAAGAAACAGTTTTCTTTGCCCTCAACATACACTGCCTTATTCACTTTAACCTTTTGGATACCCATGTTTTGGGCTAGCCTAGTCCTATTATCATCCTTCTTCTTTACTTTGCCCTTCCACTTGGGCCTAGAAGAAGATGGTATAGACTAGGTTAGATTGATAGGAATACTTATACTATTTGATTATCCTTTCATTTGTTACTAATTCTATAAGAATATCATCTGTTGGGAAACGTGCAAGTTTTAAAAACTTTTCAAGGGATTTTGATTCATAGATCTTGATTCATCACATAGAGACAAGTTTTATGCAAAAATAAAAATATGATGTATCATTCAATTAATGGATTGAATACTTATATCAAAGGTCTGAGTAAACTTTTAAATCTTTCCTCTAAAGTGAATGTTCTCACTTATTGTAAATCCCTTAGCAAGAAACCTTCTCCTTGGATCTCCATCTTCGTGGTAATTGTTTTGCCTTTAGAAATTACTCATAACCCTCCATGAATGACCTTGGAAAACTAGGCTTGTGGGAACCTCCATTAGATGAGAACATAAACCCTAATTTTCTAGAGAGAGAAAATAAATTCATTTTTCCTTCTTCTAAAAATCACCCACAAAATATACATAGACCATGTATATTTATAGGCAATATAAAAATAAAGAAAAGGAAACAACAAATCCTTCTCAATCTCTAATTCATATGTCTCAAATCTAATATGATTCCAATATCAAGTTGGGTTATGAGTGAGAATCCATTGGGCCTATTATTTTATTGGTTACAATGAATTAATAATTGGCCCGATCCATGGACCCAATTCAATTAATTCATAAATTAATTTCTACTCCACTAAAAGAAATTAATTGAATTCCAATTAAATAATAAATAACCTTTAAGTCAATATTGCATTTTGACCCCTCTATACATAATTAGTTATCGGATAAATAAAGTCATCAATCCGACTACTTAATTAATATATTTATTTTGGTACCTTTGATTATTTTTGGCTCGATCACAATAAAACATTTGTTTGACAAAAATAATAATTTAAATAAATATATATATAATAAATCATTTTGTCTAAAAACACACGAAGACCTTCGAATTTACTTTGTGATCAACCATAATCAATACAAAATAAATACAAGTAGCAATGATACAAATATTGAAAATATAACCCTCTAACTATTAATTACATAACTACCCAAAGTGTCGATTTAAGGATCCCGAAGAATCCGCCGAATAAATCAAAGTAATTATTAATTAATAAAAGAGTCTATAATTTTCTCATACTTAAAAGTCAAATGCCATGACGGTGATAGGGAGCAATTGTATACGATGGCTCTCGTAATATATCTCAACCTAACGCGGATCCAGTTGAAGTCTTAATTAATTATAAGTCCATTCATAATTACCGACTATGAACCATTTATAATTACCATTTATATTCATATATTGATCGCCATCACATACATATATAAATATCTCTCGTAATCAAATGGACACTATCAATTCCAAAATAAATTAAAACATAATACATTGAATCCACCAATTATATAAATCATAAATATTTCAGATATGTCACGAACATATGTCACTTTAATCCAAATAGAAATTTGCTATGCCAAGGCATATAAATCCCAACATATATATCCATTAGCCTACTGGATTGCAAGTGTTGTTTGGTATAGACATTTGCCGATGAGAACAGAGTAGTGAAAACATATATAAATAAGGAAAAAAAGAGTACCAAATCACACATTTGGACCTTACCTAACAAATAAATCCATTCACACAAAGAAGTTTTCAGACCCGCACGCTGTAAGATCCAACTATGATACATTATCATCTAAGTCCTCATCAAAAAATTAATTAGAAGAATATAAGTACAAATTAGGGGTTGAACAAACCTTGAGCTCATCTTTCAAAAAACAATGACACATGCAGCATAAATCGTAATCGCTAGTTGCAGCAAACTCGAGTACTCCAACGCAGTCCTGGAAAGAGGTTTGAAATACTGGAAAAGAAGAACAACTCAAAATATCGCAAGCTAGAGCGATATCACGCAGTGGGTAGTCTTTGGTAGAGTAATATTGCACATGTGGTATCCACTCGTGCCATTTTTGGTGGAAAACACGGCCAGGGATTCCGATGTGTTCTATTTGTTCCCCATCCACATTAAATTTGTATTGCAAACACTGCTTCCTATACTTAAGAAGTCTTTCATCAACATCATAAGTAAGACCAAAAGGTTGGTCTGAAGTAACAAGCTGTACACACCCTGTTTCTGTTGTGATGGGTGCCCAAAACTGTATTAGAACTTTCTCATAATAATTATGATGGAAGTGTAGAAGCGCAGATTTGATATTGCCTGTAATGATCCGTTGATTTGTGGTCCAGACACCTACACGTTCATTGGAAGAACATTATTTCATATAATATACAGACGGTGGTTTTCCAGTAAGATAGAGATCCAATTACTTTTCCTTTATTTAAAAAAAACATTGGGTGAATGGAAGCTAAGCTGCCTATTGAATAAAATTTCGATGCCAACGATATAATAGATATTTAACCTTTCTGTTAATAACAGAAAAAGGTGAGAAATTAAGGGAGAGACAGTCAAGACAGACACAGAGAGATAGAAAAACAGCTTACTGCAAGGAGGGAAAGTTGGCTCACTCCAAGATAACCACAGATGGTCTTCCGAATCCGGGCGCTGGAAAGACACTGCACTCGGCAAATCTTTCATGAAATTCTTGATCTTGCGTTCTTCATCATCAAGATTGGATGTTTGGTCTTCTTCATAATCATCAAAATCGTCAATCAGAGGCTCTGGCATCTCTTCCATTGTCCCCGATCAACTACCACATCAATATATCTAGAAACGCGCAAAGAAAAGTTTTGGAACCGTATTTTTCATTTGCCGAGAGATAAAGAGAAAATTACTCCTTTTGCATTCATTAAGTACTATAAAATTTTCAACATGACAAAGAAGTCCTACTTCTTTTTAAATTTATTTTCGATAAGTTGTACCTATTTTATTTTATTTTTATATTTTATTAGGGCTAAGCTAACTGATTTTAGGAAAATATTTTGTTAATGAATATGTTACCTTCCAATATTATATTTTTAAGTTCTCCATCACTTGTTCTACTCTTGACATCTTTTGAAATTAAACGTCTTGATAGACTATCTAGCGATGGATTTTTATTTTTTAGTTTATTCCAATTTTTCAAATGTTTCATTTTATTTTTATTCTCAAATAATGTAAATATAAATAATATTCAACAATATATATATATAAATATATATATACAGCAGGGTTCGCTCAAGTTTATAATCAACAATATATATATATATATATATATATATATATATATATATACGGCATGGTTCACTCAAGTTTATAATCAACAATCATGTAATGAAACCCTCACACCATTGTTATGATGCAAATCTACTATATAAATAAAAATCGAATGATTTGTGCTTGAAATCTAATATCATTCTCATAAATGTTTCATTTTCATAAGTTATTCATTTTATATGTTGATTTTGAATTTTTTATAATCAGTTTTGACATTAATGTACATTTTAAATTGATATATTTCTTTGGTAGAATTCATTATTTTATATATATGTTTATGTTTTAATATAGTATCTTTTATAATAATATGATGTGTAGAAGATATTCAAGAAAAAAATGTAATATATACAACATTCATATTTCAGCTTTTGCATTTAACAAACAATCTTAATAAATATATTTAGTACTTAAAATTAATAAAATATCAAACAACTTTACAGATTAATAAATTCAGCACTTAAAATTTCAACGTTTATAATTTAATACTTGAAATTTTCAATACTTAATTTTTAGTTTTATTAAACAGTACCAAACTCACCATATTTTAATTGTATACACAAGTGAAACGCTGCTTCACCAAACCTTAAAATAAATAAATAAATAAATAAATTTCTATGTCAAATTTGGAATCTGTTTTTGAAATTGTGGAGTTGAAAGCCTCGTGGTGAAACTACATGATTTTAAATTTATCCAAAAAAAAAATACATCAATATATATATATATATATATATTAATATACTATATAACAACAAAACGACAGAAGTGCACTGATAATTATATATTGAACCATTTTTTTAAGGGTTCAAAAGATTATTCTCAACTACTGTATGAGATATTCCAGCATGGTGACAAGGTGTAAATCATGAACAGGGTACAAGGAACCTCACTTTCTTGGCATTGTTGGCCCACTCGTTTGGGCTTCAAAGGAAGAGAAGATCTTATCCTCTTCTTGTTTTTTACTAACCAAACACTCTATGGGACTTTCTAGTTTACTTTTGTGCCATCCATGTAAAAAAACATAGAGTAAATTGCACTGAAACCTTTGAGGTTTCTTTTCATTGGCACTCTTTAACACAACAAATGACCATTTAACCTTTTAACTGGTCAATAATCACATAGAAAGTATAAATTTACTAATATAACCATTTTTAATGGACCAAAAGAACCTATGCATCTCAAGTTAATACCCATCTGTTGCCACCGCCACATCCACCACCCCCCACAACCACCACTTGTTCTTTCTTTTATTCTTTCTTACACATGAAAAAACCCCACCACCAGCATTGAAACTCTATCTCTCACACTCAAATTCACCACCAACAAATTGAATTCAATGGTCTCTCTTCAATCGCACTCAAGGCCGGCCCTGAGATTGAAAAATTCTTGAGAAGCACTAGGCGAACTTTAAATATGAGGCCCTAGTAGTAGATGATAGCCCATCATTCTTGCTGCATTTGGAGGCTGGTTCATCATTTTTGCTCCATTTTCATGGCCCTAAATTTGGAGGCGAGTTTCAATTGTTACGGTTTGGTTATAAATTTTTTTTTTGGTGGCCTATCATTCTTGAGGTCCTTTATTTGTTGCATTTTGGTTATAATTTTTTTTTTTTTTTTGGTGGCCCAACATTAATGGGCCTATAAAATTTGAGGCCCCTTAAATGATTTGATACATTTAGTTACAATTTTTTTTTTTTCTTTTGTAGCCCATCATACATGGGCCTATAAAATTTGAGGCCCCCAAAATTTTGAGGCCCTAGGCGACAGCCTTGGTCGCCTTGGGCCAGGGCCGGCCCTGAACTTATTCCAATTCTCTATACTCCGGCGGCTTCAGCTGCAGTGAATACTCTCCCAACGACGGATCGACGGAGCTCTTCCAACAAGCCAGGCGATGCCTGATCGTGACATTCATTCCCAGCAACCACGTATCGGTCGGAAAATCAAGGCTCTACCACACAATTTTCCTATCACCTCCGACAAGTACTGTAATACCCATGATTTTTAGAGGATTTATTTAATTATTTTAATTGCATTTTAATTTGCTTATGTGGCTAATTGTTAAGTGTTTAAATGATTTAAATGTTTATTTGTGAATTATGTGAATTTTTTTTCGAATTGTTTTGTGTGATTGATTAGTTGGCATTGAGGTTGTTTAATTAATTATTTTATTTTAAATGATTATGTGTTTAATTAATAAATTTATTTTATTTAATTGTTTATTTAAAAGGGATGGTTTGGCTTCTGTTAATTAGACCAACTCAACCGGTCTTGGGATACTTGGAAGGAAGTCTAGATGGGTAAGGATTATTGCCCATAGATATGTGTGTCTATATATATATATATATATATATATATATATATATATATATATAAAATGATGTGTATGTACATATACGATTTTATTATTATTATTATTATTATTATTTTAGTTATAGTCAGACGAGGATTAGGAGTTAGGATACTTAAGCATATGTATAGCCTTTAGAGGCGGCTGGACGTGCAATGGAGAAAGAGAAAGAAAGAGAGAGAGAAAGAAGAAAAAAAGAAAAAGAGGAGAGAGAGAGGTTGTGAAGCCGATCCAAGGAAGGAAGAGGGTTGTTCGTGGACCAGCAGAGACACACGACGGCAACTCGAAGGCTGCCGGCGTCAAGAAAACGAACAAAGAAGAAAAGAGTAGGGTTTTCGATCCAAGACCCTTGAGGTAAGTTCTTGTTCTACTCATCTCCTTTAATCTCATGTTCTATACATCTTTAGGACGACCTTAGGATGTTTAAACAAAAAGAAAGAACATGTTTGTATGATAAAATTGGACTAGAACATAGTTATATATATGTGTATATATGTCCGTATATATCTTGTATGACTTGATGATTTAATGGATTAATTAATGCTAAAACTTGTTGTAAACATGTTTAATTGCTTGGAATTAATTAAAGGATGCATATGGGACTTAGTTGCATGCTTAGGACCCTTAACTATGGAGATCGGAGTGATTTACAATAGTCGAAAACAGAGAAAAAGGAACCCAGCAGAACTGAGTCGGCTCAGTTAGGAAAGAGCCGACACGGTTCCAGAAATAGCCGACTCGTCTGGAGAACGAGCCGGCTTAATTGATAACCAAGCCGACTCATTCAGAAATGAGTCAGCTCAGTTGGAGAAAAGGCCGACTTATTCTTAGAAAAAGCCAGCTCAGTTGAGTTTTGGTTTTTTGATTTTGTTTTCATGAGTCCCAATGCTACTATAGTTCGTTTAGTTGATTTAATTGGCCTATGATTTATAAAAGTTTTCAAAATGCCCCCCCTAAATTAATTTTTTTCTAGAAAATGACCATTAATTTTTATTACACATAGGCCAATAATTTATAATTAAAAACAAGTGAAAAATGCCCCCTGAAATAATTATTTACCCTTGGGCCAATTAATTTTTATTGCAAATAAGCCTATAATTTATAAAATTTTACAAAAATGGCCACTAAAATAATTATTTTTAAAAAAATATCTTTAATTTTTTCTTTCTTTTCATTCTTACTCCTCCTCATCCTCTTCTTCTTCTTCTTCTTTTATATTCTCTTAAAAAAAAAAAAAAAAAGTTGCATTCCTTTATTCAAACTATTTTTTTTTCTCTTCAAAGTTTGGTAATTAAATTTGTTGCTAAAAGGACTCTTAAGGTCAGTATTTTATGTTTTTATTTTTTAAAAATAATTACTTTTCAAATTATTAAATGTTATTATTCCACCAATATTACAGTTCTATTTTTTGGCTTATTGTCTTGCAGCATTATTCGGTTGAAAAAATATATAATTTATCCTCTTTAATATGGCGCCCCCCATGAAACAAATTCCTAGCTCCACCCCTGGGTATAATGGACTTTACTTGAGTTGTAAGTTATTCACATGATGATTATTAATGCTTGTATTGTTATAACAATTGCAAAAGATGATAACATTATTATAATCACGTTTGAAACTTCTTTATAGGATCTTATGCATGATCTTTATTTGTTGATTGTAGTGGACCATTGTCAGTATATGGTTCTATCTACGCCATTGTCAGCATATGGTGTTATGGTGTTATAGTTTTATTTATTGAATGAGCTAGCTAATAAGTTTAGACTTATTCTTTGTTATTCCATTGTCAAGGAATGGTTATAACATTCGATTGTGCCATTGTCACGATATGGCTATGATACTATTTATGTTGCTATACATTGTTAGGATATGACTATATGTATTATGTATTTTATTATTGTGCACTATAATACGAGCTTCAGGTCTCAAAATTAATGGTTAAGGATGAGGCGCATATCGCCAAATGAGATGAGTAACTGGATATAGGTGATGTGTCTACTCTGGTAGAAGAAGGACTCATGACCACTTAGTGTGTGATTTTTCATGAGATACTCTATAATGTACCGGATTGTTTTTGGATTTTTTTTCAAATTTTTATTTCATTTATTTTTCGTACCTTGTCTTGTGTGCTAGACACTGTAGGGTGTGCCGGGTGAGTCCTTAGAGTTGGTGGGGCATTTCTTCGAGTTAGGATTCTTAAA